TATATATATATATATATATATATATATATATATATATACATTTGTTAACGTTCCTGTACTAATACACTAAGAGAAAATTATGATAATTATCTTTAAGATCTGATAATAATAATAATACGCTAATATAAATCTCTAATTATAATCAAAAAGAAATCTTGTGACTTACATGAAAGTTATTGCATCGTACACTTAATATTATCATAATTTTTATATATATATAAATATATTTATTTAATTTTATTCTACGCAAGTTTGTTTAAAACTTGATAATGAAATACAAAACAAAATGTGAATTGTATCATTGAAGTTGTATGTTATTAATAACTTTTTCGTAGCTTGTTTTATTATTTATTAACTTCAAGTAATACTTTGATAATATTTAAATTATAGTTTTTTTTTTATTTTTTTTTTTTTATGTATATATAAATGTTTTTATTAACATAAATCTAAGTATATTCCTTTTTCTGTATTATTTTTTTTTTTTAGATTACTTTTCGTTTATAGAAAATTATTGAATATGTCCGATAGTATTATTGTTATATCTTTAATCATTTTAATAATATTTATATTTCTCATCGGATATGAAATTTATTTGCATTATGATATTTATTTTCCTTCATCTAACCAATAAATGTATTTGTATTTTCATTAACGATCATCACCTGTTTGTAAACGTCCGAGAGAGTTGTAATTTATATATATATATATATATATATATATTTTTTTTTTTTTAACATGTCCGGCGTAGTTGCTTCATACGCATGAAACTTTATATACTTTTTCTTCTGGAAGACGTGAAAGCCATTTTCTGAAAACCGACCATCTATCGATTTCACTTCCAATCAAACAAAAAGTATTACTTTATTAATCATTAATTCTATTTCATAATCTGGATAATTAGACAATTTTTTCTGGTAATTGATTTACATTAATTTTAATCTAAAATATAATAAAGTTTTGTCGTTGTATTATTAACATTTTATTAATTATTTTATTTATTATGCTTAGATCAAATTGACTTACTTGGTGAGAAAAATTCTGTTGCATAATAATGAAGCATTTTCTATCTTCCTCCATATTCTAAAAAAAAAAAAAAAAAACAAGGAAACACTTACACAAACACATGAGAAATACTTCAGAAATTGAGAAAAAAAGAAAAAAAAAAAAATTAAAATTCATAAACAATAGAGGACCACGAAGGAGCTTGTCAAACATCGTTCAATTGCCAATAAAGTGCACCCATCGTTAATCCTTCACCTAAATCATTCAATTCTGATCTGGCTTGAAGATACGATTCAGTCTGTATTTTAACAGATACAGCTTGATTTATTTGACTCTAAATATAGAAAATTTGTGAAATCTTTGACCCGTATCGTTTGACTTTGGTATAACAAAATTATTCGAAATGAGTAGTCAATTCATAAATTCCGTAACAAATGGTAAATGTTGACGATTTTTCATAATGTCATTGGCTGTACGTAAATCATCAAAATAATTTATAATTTTGGAAATTATAAAAATAGATGAAAACTATTGAAAATCATATTAAGACATAAATATTGAACGAGGGTATTGATAAATGTCCCATCAATTGTTTCAATAATTGTAATAGTCAACTGTAAATAATGAATTTCATACAAGTCATTATTACATTACAATTCATATAATCAAAAATGAATGAATACCATCACCATAGAAATTAGAATATGGATTTTGTCCAGTATGATTGTATTCTTAGGTATATAAACCAATGATAGGTTAAAGAACAAAAAAATAAATAATAAGCTGGAATTATAAACACAAGCACTCAGAGATCCATTTCCAACAATTTTTTATTTTATTTTTTATTTTAATAATAAAATCTATCTTTGTCGTCAATTTTGATACTTATCATTATACGTTTTCTTTATGTATTATCAATGATATTATTTAATTTCAAATTTTACTGATCTATTTCATAACTTTAATTAATTTTGATTGCTTTATTTACGTGTTACTCTCTATACGAAACTGCTTCTCATGAATTAAATTGTATAGGTATTATTTTGAGTTTACTGGAATGATTATTTTTAGAAAATTGATTCCAAGTATTCAGAAAGTAAGAAATATGACAAAAACAGTTATCACTTTCAAACAATTTGCTATCAATTTTGTTATCTGAAATATTACTTTCATCTCGAACATTATCTTCGTTTACGTTCAAATCTTTTGTCTTTGAATAAAAGTATGTATGACAACTTGAATTCATATTGAATTCATTAATCCCTTGATACGATTTTTGTTTTAATTTTTCCACCACAGACATTGGACAAGTATCTCGAATACAAAAAGTACTTTTCAAAATTTGCAATACTTTCATAGTTTGCAATGTTAATTTGTTTTTGGATCCTTCAGTTCTATCTGTTTCACTCAATGAACCTTCGTATGAAAAAAATCATTTAATTACTAGAATGTTTAATATATATATATACAATATAACATTTATATATATATATATATATATTAAATGTTATATTAGTTATTCATAAGATAATTTACTTGTAGGAGACCATGGTATAGTCAAAGCAGCATCAATTGCACGAGTCCATCCTTCGATAGAATCTTATTAATAATAATAATAATAAATAAATATTTTTCTATTAAATATTAAAAAATATATTCAAATGAGTTTAAAAAAATATTCAAAAATTGTGTTACCAGTAATATTTATTCTCTCTTTTGGTTTGAATGCAACATTGATCGTTGCTACTGATTCTGAACTAGTATCATTAAAACATTCTATTGTACTACTTGTTTTTGATTTTTTTTCTGTATCGCTAGAAGATACTTGATCAACTTTTATATTGAATTGACTATTAACAGTATTACATGGCCTATAAGCTAATAGTATATCCTGTGTACGTAACATTTGTAAATTATCTTTCATATCTTTATCACTTGTTATAGCATTACATATATAACATTGAGAATGTTTTAAACAAATGCAATGACAATTATCAATAAGTTTATCAAGTTTTGTTACTTCATGTATTCCTGATATACTTGTCTGTGTAAATACAGTCATTGTTTTCTTTTTTTCCAACATTTTTGCTATCCTTTTTCTTCTTTTATCTAAGAGCTGTTCCATTAGTTTATCTATCGAAAAAAGAAGATTTTTTTATTATGCAATATTAACACTTTAATGGCCGCTCACACAACATGTGTGTGATACCTGAAATATTGGCCGTTATTTTATTTATATTAACTTTATATATATATATAAAATTAATTTTGTTGTTTTTTGTTTTATGTTAATTTTTTCGTTAATGACAATAAAGTTTCTTTTTTAAATTAATTCTTGGAAAATATTACGGTCGTCTCTGACGACGTTTGACTGCGTTTACACGTGCGGCCATTAAAGTGTTAATAATAAAATACCAATATTTTCTACGATTATTTTCTTCATTAATAATTATTATTATAAAAAAAAAAAATTAACCTTTCGATCGATTATTCTTTATTTTTTCTATTTCTAAACCAATGTCTATGGATTTTGAAATCGTATCGTTAAGAATAGTTTGAACAACTTGTTGAGAATTGTTGGATACAATTTCATTAATTGATTTTAACAAATCATCGATGATTTGTAAAACAATGATAGACGATTCCAATGGGTCAACGACAATTGTCAATTGTAATTTACGTAAAACATCATCTTTCTTTTCGTCAACCTTGTAACTTGCCAAAGTTTGAATAATTTGATCCCTTGGAGGATATCTGACTATTTCAACACCCCTTTCAACAATTTCATCAATAATATCGTCAACTATGATTCTCGTTTCAATAGCATTGTTCAAACATTCGTTTAAAATATCACAAATCATGTTTTTAATAGCATGATAATCTGTTAATAATTCGGTATTCGAATGTTTAGGTTTACAGGTTAATTCAGTTTGAGTTTCATTGTCCATAATTACGTGATCCATAATCAGATTGTATTTTATCAAAGTTTGAGCATAATTTTCATTAGTAATGGGATACGAAAGACTCGTAGGATCTAAAATCCAAAATGTACGTTCTTGTAAATAATAAATAATATCAGATATCAAATCATTCATCTCGGTTTGCAAATAATCATCTTCGTTCCATACGAAAATTGTATCATCATTGATCGTTTCGTTATCATTAATATTAATTTTTAAACTTTCCGTAACAATTTGAACATTTGTATTTGGATGAAACGTAAGTTTGGTTTGTATTGTACGTGTATTTTTGAATTCAGGTATTGGACCATCTCTCATGGATGCTGTAATCAATAATATATCGTATTTATTCGTTAATTTCGTTATTTAATATTTAATTAATATTCATTATTATTTACTCATAATATCTTTGTAATATTTTATGGTAGGACATGGTGCACTCATATACAATGTTTGTGAAATTTGATCCTTGTATCGAATTGGAATATCAACGACAGATAATCCTTGCAAATATGTTTGAACTTCTGCATGTGTTATATTTTCATCTTCCAATTCGTTAACATCCACGAGATATTTTGGTGTTAAGGGTCTTCTGTAAATAAAACTATCGGTGTTTAAATCCAAAGATGTACTCGCTTTATCAGAAACCGTGACCTTTGTTTTAATTTCTCTCAATACAGCATCATCTTCCGGGGTTATGGTTATCAACGTTTGAGCCCATGAATCATCTTCATTTTTTTTTGGAAAATTCTACGTTTACATTATTATTATTTATTTAATTATACGTACATTTAATATAAATAAATAAATAAATAAATAAATAAATATTATAATAATATATATTAATTATTAGAAATATAAATTATTAATTCAATCATTTTTTTTTTTAGTTTTTATTTGTTTCATTACTTCCGCTGAATGACCATTTTTATTTTTATTACGTGGCATCGTATTAACTTTTTAGAATATATATATATAAGAAAATTATTACAAATTTATACAGAATTTTTACTTTTCTCTGAAATACAAATTTTCAAAATGAAATATCATTTGTTTACATTTTTATTGAGGTTAGAATAAAGAAAAATCTATTAATAAATTGACGTATATTTTTATTGGTCTTCGTATAAAAGTGTATCGATTTTTTATTGGATATATACATTGATTAATAAAATATTTTAAAAATATATTAATCGATAAGTAAGATGGTCTACAGTAGGGACCCTGTAGGAGGGACGCGCCAAAGAATTTTGGGGGACAGGAACTCATGTAGTCACGTGATTGCGCGCGAATTAATTAAACATTTTAAATAGTATAAAAGTTGTATATAGTAATAGTGAATAGTGTAGGGGGTAGAGTGTTGATTTGGTTTGAAAAAATTATGAAATAATGAATTGCATCAAATACAGAAACAAAAAATGAACCATATTTAATGATAATTAAAAAATGTATATTAAAAATAAAATAGGGTTAGACAAAAAACCAATTATAAATTCAAATAGAAAGATTCAATTTAATTTGATTTGATAAAAGGCATTACAGTATTTTGAAATTTCAAAACAACTTGTAGAAATTTATACAATTTTGATAAATACAATTATCTACTATATATATATTATATTTACAATTATTTTAAACATTCGTACAAATTTGTTTTTAATTTCCAATATTAATAAAATCAGCTAGGATTTCTGGGTATTATATCTTCATAACTAACCACAGCCGTTATTTATACATACTAAAGATAAACATGGCTGCGCGTTGCATCGGAAGCTGTCCCCCAAAATTGTCAGCCAATAGCAACCCCAGCAATATGTATGGCGCGTCCCTCCTACAGGGGGTCTCTAGTCTACAGTTGAACGGGACAATACAATTGTTGACATACGCGGACGATATTGCTTTGTTAGAGGACAATGAACAGGCATTAATTAATAACGCAAAAATATTAATAGATAATACTACAGATCTGGGACTGCAAATAAGCGAGGAAAAAACCAAATATATGGTAACCGATAGAGTTCAGAATAATCCTAATACTGGAACTTTGGTCGTCCGGGATCAAACTTTTGAGCGGTTCAGCAACTTTAGGTATATTTAGGATCAATCATAAATCAGACGAACGAAATTAATTGAAATAATAACAAACATTATCTAACATTACATTTTTGACAATTTATTTAGTTTAAAATACCTAATGTGGTTTGAAATAATTGATAAATTCATTTTTTTTTTTTTTTTCTAAATTTTGACTTAAACCACTTGCATAATTATGAACACATATATTGTGTATACGTAAATAATAATAATATAATTGTAATTTAATTAAATGATACTTCTAAAATGAAAGTACGTATTTCCATTGGTTTCAAATGTATATTAATAGCATCTTTTTGAATTTTGACAGGATAAAATGTATCTTCCATATTATTTAGAATATCGTTCACTTCAGAATTCCATTTCAAACGATTATTATCTTCTAACCATTGATTAGCACCTAATGTTGTTTCCTTAATCGATATTATATTGAATGATGTGAACAAATCCTGTTAAAAAAAAAAAAAAGAATTAAAAAGAGGTTAGAAAAAATCGTATGAAAATAATTATTAACAAATAAATATATCTTATTATGAACATATTTACATACTTTAATATTAACATCTACGGGTGCAGATAATTGCACAGCTTCACCAGCTTCGAATAAATGTTCAAGTCTTAATAAAATAGTACCATTTTTCCAAGGTTCTAATGTAAGTACATGAACATTTGGTGGTAATGCTTTGGCCAATCCTAATTTCTATAAAATAATATATATATGTAGTATACTAAGTTAACGAATTATCTTATACCGCCATCTGTTAGAATCTTATCGAACTAACAGAGATAATCATGACTCTTTGTTACGAAACAAATAATTCGCAATAATATAATATTGCGATTATAAATTGAGATATAAACTATCCTATCTTTCAAGTTGAATTAAACTGCACACAGTGTGCAAAATTTTATTCAAATCGGTTCAGTAATTTAGGAGTCCATTGCGAACAAACAACGTGACACGTAATTTATATATATTAAGATAAGATAAACTATCCTATCTTTCAAGTTGGATGAAACTGCACACAGTGTGCAAAATTTTATTAAAATCAGTTAAGTAATTTAGGAATCCATTGCAAACAAACAACGTGACACGTAATTTATATATATAAATATATAATTTATAAATAAATACGTTATAATTAAAATTATTGAATATTTAAAATACTTTCAATAAATTAGTATAATTAACATAATATATTAATATATATATATTAATATATAATATTTATATA